TGATCCCACAGTTTGTGAGTTGGAGCCCTAAATTGGGCTCCGCGCTGATGGTTTAGAGCCTGCTTGGGATTCTTTCTGTCCCTTCCCCACTTGTGCTCGTGCTCACTCTCTGTCTCTGTCTGTCTCTCTCTCAAAATAAATACACTTTATAGGTTCTTTTTAAAAAGTATTTATTTTGAGAGAGAGAGAGGCAGAAGCAGAGAGAGACAGATCCCAAGCAGGCTCCATGTTGTCAGTGCAGAGCCCGATGTGGGGCTCAACCTCACAAATTTTGAGATCATGGCCTGAGCCAAAAATCAAGGGTCGGATGGCTCAACTGACTGAACTGCCCAGGTGTTCCAAAAAATAAACTCCAAAACAAAAACAAAAACAACACATTGTGTTGTGTGCACCTTGCTGGCTCAGCCGGTGCAGCATGCAACTTCTGATCTTGGGGTTGTGAATTCGAGCCCCACATTGGGCGTAGAGATTACGTAAAATAAGATATTTTTCTGGTGTATTCATTTATTTTGAGAGAAAGAGAGAGAGCACAAGCGATGGGGAGGGGCAGAGAGAATTGGAGAATCCCAAGCAGGCTCCGTGCCATTAGCGCAGAGCCCGTTGTGGGGCTCAGACTCACGAACCATGAGATCATGACCTGCACTGAGATCAAGAGTTGGACACTTACTTACCCAACTGAGCTGCCCAGGTGCCCCAGAAATAAAATCTTAAATTAAAAAAGAAAAACAGAACCCTTGTGTTGCAATCAAGGAAAGAGCTCTTTAGCCAAAGCACTAGTGACACAGTTGAGAACGGACACTTATCTTCACCGGGTTTGTGTGTAGTTCAGTAATTGCCCATAGCTGGCTGGCGGTCAACTAGCGGTGGATTTCCTCCCCTGAAAACCCGTAACTTGATATTTGTCATCTTCATCTAATGTCACAGGTGGTTTACTCCCCCACCTCCCTCCGCCCACCAGCCATCAGCCTGGGTGGAAGAGACTACCCTTGAGTCCTGTTTGCCTGTTCTGGAGAGAGTGGGTGGTGAGGTATTACCCTGTTCGGGGCACCACATTTTACAAGACAAACCTTTGGTCGGCTGATAATTCCAACAGCTGCATTTGTCCACTCGAAAGATCAAGTGGTTAAATCAGGAGTTGTTAGGATGAAATGAGAGTTTATGGGAATTTGCTTTGTAAATCTCTGTGTTGTTTCTAGTTGTTAGTGGTTGCTCAGAGGAAGCTTCATTAAGAAAGGTTCAGACTGTTTTCCTGGAAACAGGTGAGTGAGCGGGGCAGAGTCATCAGAGCAAGTCAGTGACGCCATATGCCAGCATCCGGCTGTTTTATTGTTGAACTGTCTTATGCTGGAGCACCACTGTATCTGAGAACACATGACTTGCACATAGTTGTGTTATGTGTGCAGAGAGTTCTCAGTTTGTGTTCCTGTTAGATTTGCCAAGCCCCTTGTCTGGATCTTGTTTTCACTGTCATTTAGTGTCCTCTGCTGGTCATTTCTAGTACCTTCACCTTGTCTAAAACACTGAACTTCTACAAAAGAAAGGAATGGGAAAAACATCAGTTTGCAGTCCTTGTAGTAATAATATTGGTTCGGGCAAGAATTTTCTAGATGCCAAAGCTGCTACTGGAAGTTTATTGGGAGGTCAGGACCTTCACCCAATTTCAGAGGACTGCCTCACAGCCTGCTTAGTAATTTCAAAGGGAAAAAATGTACCACTGCAAACGGAGAGATCTGGTACCATCCACTTGAACCAAATGGTCACACTTAACACCTCTTAACAGTAGGAGAAGCATGCATCTTCTGCCCCGGACGCGATGCTTTTGTAAATGCATGCCTATCAGGCAAACTGTCCTGAGGGATTTTCTGCAGGACACCTGGAATTGGCCTGAGGTCATATTGCTTGCTTTTTGCACACTCACTCATCATTCCAGGTTCACTTAAAAAAATTTTTTTTTTGTTTATTTATTTTGTGAGAGACAGAGTGAGTGGGGGAGTGGTAGAAAGAGAGCAAGAATCCCAGGCAGGCTCTGCACCATCATCACAGAGCCTGATGTGGAGCTCGGACTCTGGAACTGTGAGATCATGACCTGAGCTGAAATTGGACGCTCAACCAACTGAGCTACCCAGGCGTCCCCACTGTTTTTTTTAAGTAATCCCTACCCACAATGTGGGGCTCATACTCTTGACGGATCACCCCTGAGATCAGAGTCGCATGCTCCACTGACTGGGCCAGCCAGGTACCCCTCCAGACTCACTTTTCAGGCAGCTTCACCAGAAGCAGCCTGTAAGCAGTTCCTGTAAGGCTCATTCCTTTTTCCTTTTTTCCAGATTACCACCCATAGTTCGAGGAGGGGCCATCGACAGATACTGGCCTACCGCCGATGGTCGCCTGGTTGAGTATGACATAGATGAAGTGGTATATGATGAAGATTCACCTTATCAGAACATTAAGATTCTACACTCAAAGCAATTTGGAAATATTCTCATCCTTAGCGGGGATGTTAGTAAGTATTCATTCCATCCCTACCCGAGTTGCGTAGCAAAGTGACTGTGTTTCCCTGACAGATACACCACTGGGGATTTGTCCTAGTTTGTCCTTGGCAGTGCTGTTCTTTTAAGAGGAACGTTTTTTTCACATTAACCTGTGGATTGTCTGGGCTTTCATGTTTTATGGCAGAGCCGTGAAAACTTTGATATTCCTTTTTCTTAGTTTTCTTAGTGCTGAGTATTTGGATAATACCTCTATAAAGAAAATGCTTATTTTTTAAGAAATCTCTTTGTTACAGAAAATTTCAAACCTAAGTAGACAAAATAATATGGTGAACCCATGTATGTTCACCATTGAGTGACAACAATGAGCAACTCGTGGTCAGTCTTGTTTCCTCTGAACCCTGGTTTGCTTTCTCCCCCTCATATTTGGAACAACTCTCAGATACTATATTTCATGTAATGAAAGATGTAATTGCTTTAATTAGCATATCAGAACATTCAGAAAACTGAGTTTCCTTCAAGGTATATGTGTGTGTGATCTGGATGTAAAATATCGTATTAGGTGTCAGATGGGTAGGGTTGACGAAAAATCCACAGTCCAAAAAAATAAAAGTATCTACACACTGTTGACAGTTCTTAAAGACCAAAAACTTCTTAAATTTGTATTTTAGGCTAGATTCCAGCACTTTCTAGTATGGTGAATCAGGTCACGGTCTGGGTTTCTGTAGTCACCATTTTGGACCTGTTTTTTTCCTCCCTAGATCTGGCGGAGAGTGATTTGGCATATACCCAGGCCATCATGGGCAGTGGAAAAGAAGACTACAGTGGCAAAGACGTGCTGATTCTAGGGGGCGGAGATGGGGGCATATTATGTGAGATAGTCAAACTGAAACCAAAGATGGTCACAATGGTAGAGATATCCTTTGCTTGGACATCGAGTTCAATTGGCTTCTTTTGTTTTCTTCCTCCTTTTTGGTCTTAAGACTCTAGTTAATGTTATGAGGCAAATGTGTTAGAAATACTGCCTTGAACAAACATTTCAGTTTAGTACTAGTAGCCTTTTCATGTGGCTACACACAAAGCAGCAGAGATGCTCTAGTTGAGAAATAAAGAGAAAACAACCTTGGTCCTGTGTCTACTGCTTAGCACTTTCTGGAGGAGCTTCATGAGGAGAAAAGAAAGTTCAATTCCTTTTGAGTGACCTTGGTACAAAAATGAAGTCATTGTCTCCTTCATCTTTGTTTTTTTCTTTTTGTTCTGGTAAGTATGATACCCAAGTTAGTGTTCTAAAATGTGTGTCTTACCTTTTGTTTTTTAATTTTTTAAATATTTATTTATTTTTGAGGGAGACAGAGTCCGAGTGGGGGAGGGGCAGAGAGAGAGGGAGACACAGAATCCAATGCAGGCTCCAGGCTCTGAGCTGTCAGCACAGAGCCGGTCGCGGGACTTGAACCCATGAACCGTGAGATCATGACCTGAGCCACAGTCCGACGCTCACCCAGCTGAGCCACCCAGGCGCCCTTCTTTATTTTACTTTTGGAAAGATTTTATTTGTAAGTAATTTCTCCATCCAGTGTGGGGCTTGAACTTACAACCCCGAGATCAAGAGTCACTTGTTCCATTGGCTGAGCCGGCCACCCGCCCCGTACCTTTTCAGGGTTCTTGGGTGGGGGGGGGAATCAGTTGTTAAGCATCTGACTTCAGCTCAGCTCATGATCTCATGGTTAGAGCTTGAGGCCCACATCCAGTGAGCCCCGCTTCTCCTCCTCCCCGATTCC